TGCCTTTGTTTCAATCCAACTCAAAACACTTCGCAGCTGTTTGTTTTTGCCGATTCAGGTCTCTCGTTGGCTAAAAACAAAACCACAGTTCTAACCAGTCAATTTGGATGTAACGGCAACGGTTGATGTGTATACTTTTTGAAAGAATCTAAAGTACTGATTTGTTTGATTCGTAAGTATTCCACAGTTATCAAGCCAAAGCCCATTAATGATTTCTCCAACCCTTGTTTTCCTGGCTCGGGTCTCCAGCACCTGTCAGCTTTTTTTTTTATGAGCACCGGAGGCAGGAGTGGATACAGAGCAGCAGGGTGGAGCGGTTTGGAGGGAGGAGAGGAAAGGGGGATATTTGTGATATTTACAGCGCAGCATATACTGCACAGCGTTTTATGGCACTTAGAATTGTCTGTCTTGTAAAATACTTGTCAACAAGGTGAGATTTGGAATTTCTGGGTGGATTCTTGATTTAAAAAAAAGGTTATGATTCTACGAATCTCGATACAGATCTATACATCTGAACACATCACGATAACGTTATAATTTACCTTCACCCAATACCCATTTTTACTGAATACTGCAGAGCTTGAACGCATTTAACAAATTATAATGTAACTCAATGCAACCGTTATTCAAGACTTTTATTGCCCACAGGCTCGCTCTCCTGCTGATTTCAGAGGTTTTGTCCTTATAGTTGGTGATTTGTCGTAGTTCCTGTCTCCACACACCTCTGCTGTCCTTGATCATAATAACCCTTCAGACAAACAACTAAATAATGCATTGGGAAAGTATAGTAAAAGAACGAAAGCAGAATAAAGTAAGAAAAAAAAAGGAATTATGCACTAATTTCTACAAGTTCAAGTCCTGAACTCTGATCTGTGAGAACCACGTGACGGGTTAAGAGGTTTCCCAGTCGGTAATCTGCGTTAGGCTAACGTGTATGAGAAAAGGCATCCATGTTCTCTCGCACTTGTCCTTTATCCTTCTCAATGTAAACTTTTTATTCTCAAGTTTCAAATAATTTTCATACTAATTTCCAGTATGGAACGGGGGAGTCAAATGAAGAAGAATAAGTCCATCAAGTACAGAAACATTTCTGAATGGGGGAGTGCTGTCACGATTAGGTTATGCCTCCTGTGTCTCTGTGTCTCTGTGTGTGGCTCCGCCCTGGTCTCCACCCGGCTCCCTCCTGATTGCACTGATTCTACTCACCTGTCCAGTCCACCCAGCTGCCTTCAATCTACTCATCACACCCTTGGATTGCCTGTTAAATTCCCTTTGTGTTCACGTTTCATTAAAATCTGTTTTCACTCTGCAATCTGGTCATGTCTGCATTTGGGTCCACCACACCACCCTGTGATAAGTGCAAATGTCTGTGACAGTTTCGGAAATGACGCAAACACCCCATTCTATCATCCTTGATATCTTCAACCCCATGTACCTGGCTTGGAAGTCAGATTTAGAAGATTTAAAGAGGTGGTTTGCATGGACGTGGGCTTGTAACGAAGCTCTCTGCAATCTAACGCGGTTCCTAAATTGCATCCAGATCTTGCAAGTGTGGGAGACCACAGGGTTGCAGCGAAGCGGAGGACTGCAGATGATACGAGCACATCGTAATCATGAAGACGAACGGTGAACGAGTGTGAAACACTTGTGAAGTGACGATAAATGTAACTGTCCCAAGCAATTGGTTTATTACCTTTGACGATATTATTTTCTACCTCATCAATGTTCACCATTTTTAACCTTTGACTAATATCTTTGTTTTAGTGTTCAAAGTTAAAACCCGTGAAGGAGGCAACACTTTGATGGATAGACGGTATTAAAGAAGTGGAGGCAGTCATGATGTCAACCATTGGTTTGTGGACTGCGGTTTTGAAGCCTTGAGTTGGGCAGGTTTGCCGGCGCCATCTTGGTTTTATCCGTAGCCAACTATTTTTTGGAACCAGAAGTGACTGATACTGTACCAACATGTTATACTTCTGTGGTGTAGTTCAAAAGATGCTATATTTGCAAAGAGTTCATGTGGATTTGTATAAAGAATATAACAAGATTTCTGACAAATAAATTTAGTTTTTTATTAGTTGGAATTTTGTTTGACTGAAGAACCAAACGGCAGAAAACTGCTTCTTGTTTTTAATAGAAATACAACAGGGACTCCTATCTAAACCATTTATCAAATATTTATGAAACATAAACTAGTTGCATTTTTTTGTAAGTCAAACCATAACTGTAGATAATGGTTGTAATGACCTACGACAATGAGATATGCATTTGACAAAATTTGCATTTACTGACAATAACCCCATAATTTGCAATGTAAAAAACCCAAAGAGGTGATCTTCTTCTCCTGGAAATACTCGCAGCCGTTGATGCTGCATTCAACAGCGGCTCATAGTCTCAGTTACTCGGGTCTAATTGGGAACAAGCTTGTCTACAGGCTTTAACATGTAAACTGAGATCTGGAGACTTGTACGCTTGATTGACCGGCTATGCAGAGTGTTGCTTCTGTACTGTTGTATGTTATAGTTGTTTTATTGCTGTATTGTTTTTAGCTTTGCCTCTAGGGATGGCAAGGCCATTCTGCCTGTTGGTCGGTAACACATCTGTCTAGACTCCATAATCTGAGCTGCCACTGGATGGATTTCCATGAAAGTAATAGTTTAATGACAGTGATCACCTGACTTCTCCTCCATCAGGTTGCATTTTTCCTTGAAATGTAATTCGACTGCTGGACAGATTGCCGCGAAATTTGCTAAACGCATTCATGTGTTCAGATGAATTGTAATAACCTGTATGATTCTCGGTGCCATCATTGGATCAACATTTCAATTTGTCCAATGTTTTGGTTAACGACTGAATACCCGCAAAGCTAACGACATTCCCATCAGCCTCAGCTGTTTGCATTCAGTGCTAGTTAGCAAATGCTAACTTAAGGTTGTGAACATAGCAAGCATTATACCTGTCAAATATCTGCATGTAAGCATTGCCAATGTGGGCGTGTGTGTGATCACACTGCAGATTAGCAGTTAGCTTATAAAGTATTCAGCATCTAGCGATGATATCGAGCAATTCTGAGCGTGGCTGTTGGGATAACAAAGTTGTCAGTGGAAATAAACTGGATTGTTAGCTTGACCTTTACAGTACTGTCATTCCCTCTCAGCCTTATGAAGATGTTACACGCCTTTTTTACCTGCACTTTTGTAGGATATCCATTTTCACCAATAAAAGGTAAAAAAAAAGAAAATTATGACTTAAACAAATGCTCATAGTTAGTCAAAATATTCCAATTTACTACTTTTTTCTTCATGTTATACTTTTTACTATACCATACAGTCTTTCAACAGAGCCATTCTCTTTCTATACAGACAGGATAAATCATGAGCTCATGGGTGGCTCTGCTGTTATATCTGTCATCTGTTCATGCAGGTTTTAGGGATTGGAGAGGGGTCCCCCTCTTTTCTTCAAATATACACTCTATCATATTTCCTGTCACGGGGCTCATGCTGCGGTCTGATTCACACACCACTGAGTGACTTTAGTGGGTCGCACTCACCTTTTTGTTTGTTTAAAGGAGGAACAGGACTGTGAGCGTGCATGTGAGCTGTAATTGAATAAAATTCAAATATGACAGAGAATGCCAGGAAAGGCAAACTGCTCCCCGGGGGGGTCATTTAGGCGGTAAGCAGATGTTTACAGATGAGCCACATCACACTCACACCAGCAGCTACATCCAGAGAGAGGTTTCCTCCATTTATCCAGTCCTCTGAGTGGATTAAAGGAATAATGAAAACAACGTTACGTTCTTATTATAAAATAACTGAAATGATGACTGAAATAAATACACATGCACTTTCACATGTTTCAAAAATTCAGAAAAGTTTTGAAAAAATGTGAAAGTTTATGACTAAAAAGATAGAATAAATGGTTAATACGTTAGATAGTTCATGTGAGGTTTGGTATGTGAGGAATGCTATTTTGGATTAATGGGGCTTGGACACTCACTCAAACAGATTAACAATCATCACACTGCAGATTTGTTCTAATCTCTCATTTGCCGGTGATTGCGCTTTTTCTTACCAGTGTCAATATATGTTTCCACTGTTTTTATTAGTGTTGCTATTTACACTAATCTCTGACAAACACTGAGATGAAATCGTTTTATAAACATAAATATACATTAGCCATCAGTGGAGTCCCTCCCTCATTCACAAATAACTAATAACATGCAAAATCATGAAGATATTTATGCATTTATGGTAACAGATAAACTCCACTTAAAGCTATACATTAAAATGGCGACAATACACATAAATGCATCTTTTAAAAAAGGTCCATAATATTTACGTTTTGCAGTTCATATTTACAGTATATATTAAGTAATGATTGTATATTTTTCAGTTGTGGTGTTTTTGCTGAACGACCTGAATCCTCACTAAAGCAGGCGCACTTCTACCGCTGCTATTTCCACATAAAACAAAACAACAGCAGTTTAAATGTGTAATAATACCTGACGACCAGATGAACAGATGAACAGGTGCTTGATATTCATGCAAACTCTGCTACGCTCTTGTTCTACTCGGCTGCAAAGCTAAGAACATTTTTGGACTGTTTTTTTGTAAAGCAGAACTTGTTTAAAGTGATGGGGCGGAATCCAGGGAGGGAGAGATCAAATGTGCACGCGCTCAGATATTTTGTGATCTCTTGTGTTTACATTTGATAAACCAGTAAAATAAACGCAATTCATTTTTCAGACGAGTGTATGTGTGCAAATCCGTAAAGGCCTATTGGATGAGATGAACATTAAGAGATGCTACTGTTATTTATTATAATAGGCTATTATTTTATTCATAAAACGGCATCCTTTGCCCCAAAATGATCTAATATTATTATCGTTGTTTTATATAATTAGATGTGCGCAACCATTTAAAAAATATTAAATAATTATATTTATTTTTGTGATTTGTTTCTTTTCTTAAGTGTTCTTCATTTCGCGCGTTCTTCAAGTCTTATTTTATCTAAAAAAGGAATTAAAAGAAAAAGAGAAATAAAATAGTCAATCAAACTGTAAAATCGTATAGGAAGCTATGTTTTGCTTTTTGATTTAAATTGCACAAACTCTGTAAATTCAATCACGTTTTATTCCAAACATAAACTGCACAGTCCCAGTCGTTCAGAAACCGATATCTAACTACGGAGGCCTGTCACATCATTAAAACACTGTATTTGTACATAATGCGGGTTTAGATTCATCGGGACAGTCGGGCATCATTACATTACATAAATAAATTAGAGGAAACTTTTAGGAGTCCAGTGGGGGAACTGGACAGCTGAGAAACATTGTAGTTGGGAAGCATTCCGTGCAGCGAGACGGGAGACACGAGCGAGCAGCCCGTTGACAGAGACGGGACAGCGGCGCAGCGTCCCGGGCCGCAGTGTTCAAAGGTTACACACGAGGGGAAATTCTTGGAGAGGAGCGAGGTGAGTGCAGGTATGATGCTGCGTACAGGTGCGATGCTGGGACTAGTCTGTGAGCTTAATTGACTCCTTAATCCCAGGTCGTGGTACAAACCGGGACCCTGGGGAGGAAAACAGCTCATCCTGTGCGCTCCGAGGAGAGGGAACACGGGCGTCGGGCCGCGCTCCTTCGCCCTGAAGTCCCTCAAAAAGAAATGTTGCCTCTTGAAGCGTTTCCGCCGCCGAAGAAAACTCCCGTTTTCAAACATGCCGGCTGACATGGGATCCAGGGTCCAATAATTCCCCTTGCCGGGATTCCCGGGCTCCCGGGGCATTTTGACAAAGCAGTCGTTCAGAGACAAGTTGTGACGGATCGAGTTTTGCCACGCGGGGAACTTCTCCCGGTAATACGCAAAGCGCTGGCTGATGAAGTTGCAAATCTCGCTGAGCGTGAGTCTCTTCCTCGGGCTCTGGAGGATTGCCATGGTGATGAGAGCGATGTAAGAGTACGGGGGCTTCACCGAGAAGGTCCCCCTGTCTGGACCCTCCTGTAGTCGGACCGCAAAGTCTCCCTCCTCCCGCACTTCGGGAAAGGATGAAGCGCGTTGCTCCAAATCGAGATTGCTCGTGTTTATCAGTGAAGAAGCTGCGTTGTTCACGTCTTCACCTCCGCCCGTCTCTCTCATGACTTTGCTGTCCAAGGTCATGGTCCGAAATGTGTCCGGCGGCACGGCGGCCCCAAATAATGCGCTGATCTAGCCAGAACCGACGCAGATCCACTTCTCCCCTTTCATTCACATCTGACTACATCTTAAGACTCTTCCAGCCTCCCACTCCAAACTTTCTCCTCCTCCTCTTGCAAGCAGTCCGTCTTCATCAAAGTCGATTTTTTTTTTACAACAATGATCACTTGATTTATCCTCTATAATAGCCTTAACGTGATTTGCTCTGGATTGTCTTCTTGTTTTATTGTGGTTCAGTTTAATTCCCGTCTCTCAGGAGGGGGAAATTGGTCTTGCAGTCATGCCAAACATAGAACACACAGACTTAAACATAATAAAATAGATTTAGAAAATCTGAGAAACATGCAAATGTGACCGGTGAACGCTTTAAAACAAGTTGAGTACTTCAATCATCATGGTTAAAACCAGTCATCTATATGTAAGAGGAAGGCTGATTATCATCTGACTCATCCTGAACATTTAACAGCCAGAGAGATACACTCCTGTTTCACTCCTTTATTTCTCTTAATATCCGAGGACTGAAAACAGACCCGCTGCATAAATGCCTCACTTCACTAGATTATTTTCAAATGTGCAGGTCTATATCTGTATGTTTTATTGTCCTGCGCTTTACTGGCTCAATCATTCATTAAGGTTTAGTGTGATATTAAGGTGACCACAGCAGGTTTTTTGGATTGAAATATGTTTAATATACACGTTCATTTTACTGACCTTGTTTCTAACTTTTATGCTTTGGCTTACACAGAGCTTATTTCCTTCGGTTTTGCTCGTTGCAGGATGGTCTGGCACACGGTGACAGAGGCAACTCTGGCTGTTTTCACGTAAGAGGAAGACGTAATCCATTTTGAAATAATAGCTGCTCTGTATCAATTCATGTGTGGCCACCCACTTGGCAAATGGGCCTGTACTGCAGGGAGGGCTGAGGAAACTGTGGGAAGTCTCACTAATGAACAATTCTTCCCTGTGCCTCTCGTTTAACGTGATACGTGTGTGTGTGTGTACCCCTCTGAAACATATCCTATTTTATAATCATTGTCCTTTTCGCAGGGGATTTATATCAAGAGCGGGTCTTACCTACATCCCTACAAATAACAGGAAACAAATCAAATGTTTCTTACAGAATTTAATACAGACCAAAACGCATGCAACACACACACAAATCTATGTATATTCATCTCCCAGAGAAACAGCAATGCTGAGGAAATCCGTGCACCAATTAAACTGGCATGCAACCCAAATGAACAACAACAAAAACAAACAAACCACAGTTAGAATCGATGACAAAGACGATAAATAACTTCATTTAACATGTGCAACTAAATGTGTATCCACTGAGCTTAGCAGACTGTCTTGCTGTCGAAAAAAGGTCCCGAGAAGGAAATTGTTTTGCAGTTAATGACAGTGAAGGCAACACTGAGCTCAGGTTGCAGTTTGTGGTCCTGTGCAAAAATAACTTTCGGCTGCAGCCATCTGGCGCAGCTGACCATTATACACAAGCAATGCTGGAGCTATTTAGATGAAGAAACGCCAACACTTTCCACTGAATGTGTCCACTTCTTAGCCCTTCAGGATCCCATTAATGCTACAGTGATGCTACAAATCAGTACAAAACAAACCTGTCAACTGTACAGGTAGTTTTTCAGAGTTTTTTCCTTTTTATGTTCCCTGGTCTGTACGGCACCTTGAGAGCAGCCATAGAGCCAAAGGGAATTAGTGCCATTTCCTGACGTACAACATTGTAGCAGTGACACTCATTTAAATACTGAGTCATATAAGAAGCTGGTGCTGCTCCTCTACGTTGGCATTCCCACCTGCAGTGAACCGTAGAGGACAAAGAGCTGCGGAGCCAGAGAGAGTAGTCTTGGATAGTTGTGTGCAGAGCTTCGTCACATGTGGACGTAAAAAAACCTTTGCTCTGAGTGTGTTTCTCTAGGCGGTGGGTTTCCGCTGAGTTGAGGTCAGCCTCACAAAGTTTCCACACTTGAGGCAGCGTGAGTTGGAGTTGCCCTCTTTCCTGGGGATGTGCCAGCATTTGACACAGCGCACTCTGTACTTCTTATACCTTGCAAAGTCAAGACAGAAAAAACACAGTTAGTGATTAAACCTTATTTTGCTAGTTCATATTTATCTATGATTTGTATGTTTGACGGACCACATTTAAGATTGTCCATCTGGGATCAGTGTAACAGATTCAGCAGAGCATCGAATAGTGTTTATTTCTGCAGGCTAAGACTATGAAAGACAAATACAACATCAACATAAATTGCTTCATTTAGTCATCCTGGGATTAATTGTTGCAAAAGATGCTGCATGTATCTCATATAAGCAGTACAGTTTGTTTGACATGTATTCAGACTTTTACATTTACTTTAGAAAACTTCCAACACTTAAGTAAAACTTCTAACACTGAAAGTATATTTTATGAATGTCTGCTTAAAAGTCAAGACTAAATAGCATTAAATGTAAATGTGGCTTTAGGCTCCCACAGTGATCTAACAGATATGCTCTCGTACTTCATGTCTGGTTTTAAAGCATCCAACAGCCTTCAGTGTTAAAATGAGCTACCTTATTCCACAGGCATTACAGAGTGGGGTCCCGTCCTCTGCATCCCTCCACATGGGGGTCTTCCTGGTGCAGCAGGATGCACACACTTTACCCTCTAATGAAACCAAAAGGAAACATATAACATTAGTCTTACAGTCAGTTTGAACTGTGTGTACTTAGAAATGTAATAATCGCGAACATAAACGAACAAGGCTGTGTATCTGGGTGGAGTCAGAGCAGACTGTCTGGTCTCTGAATGCTGGAGATACAAACTTGTTCAAAGCATATGTACATTTCCAATAGTCAGGGTTTGTTATTTCAAATGTGTGAGTGAGGAGAGATGCTAAATCACTGCAATGGCTTGAAACTCAAAGCATTGGCTGCACAGCTGTAAGTTCAGATGTATATTCTGTTGCTTGTTTTGAAGGGAAGTTGATACCCATTATGGTCATAGGATGTTTACACAATAGTTTCCCCAAATAAATGTGCACCACCTGTCCTCAATGATGCCGTCAAGTCATATGTTTTGATGCGGTGGCGCCCTCTAGTGGAGAAGAAGGGCATGCCATGCAAAAACATACTGCCTGCTATATTTCAACTGTAGAGTAATGTTATTGATGTATTCATTTTGAACACATAGCATGGCAGCATTCTATTAGAACATATGTCTGAAAGCATGATCATTATGTATTGATTTAGTTAATATATATTATGTTTAGTCGCTTTATGTGGTTTTCTCTTATTCTCCTCATTGAATTAAATTTAGTTTTTCTTTTGGAGTAAATAGTTTCTTATCTGAATCGAGGGGCTGAGGATGGACAGTGTTGTATGTTATACAGATTTTAAAACCTTCTGAGACCATTTTTTTGATACTGTGAATGAATTTGATTCATCTATATTTTATCAATGAGATTATCAGTTTAAGTTGCAGGGCCTCCACATTGCTGTCTAGGGAGCCTGTAAAAATATGAACTGACATCAGCTCCACAGACCAGCACAGGCACTCAAGTGTCACTCACTGGAGACGCTGGCCGTCAGGTAACTCTCCTCATCCGAGCTGCTAGTTTTAATGGATTTCTGGGACGTCCGCGTCCTCAGCCTCGGCTTCCTCACACTCTTGTGGAGCTCCTTGCTGCAGCAGACACCAATGATAATGCGTGTTTAGTACCGTTAGCTGTTACTCAAGTGTTCGTCAACATTTTCTACATGCCCCATGCAAACATGCAATGAATCTGTCACTACCTGTATTTGGAAGTTATGAGGAGCCGACACTGTTCCCTATTGTTGTCCAGCTCCGTGTCCATCCTGAACGTCACTCCCTGGAAGTCTGGGTCATGGATATCGGCACTCCGCCTGGGATGAGGTTGTTTTCTGGGAGTCTTGGTTCTCCACCTCTGCGTAGATGGAGACGCAATTCCCTCCTTTTGCAGTGGCCCCTGTTCCGTTTTTGATGTCGCAGAAGGGGAAGGGTTTGTTTCTCCATTATAGCGTGAGGATTTCAGTTGTGCAACTGGAGGCCATTTTTCCTCTATTGGAGCGTGTGTACATTCTGGTTTAGATGATATGATTCTGTCATCTCTTTTTGCGAGCGACTGACACTTCTCTGTAGTGCCAAATAACAGCGATGCTGATCGCGGAGGAGGCAGGACGGGGTTCGGAGGGGGCAGCTGGGAGTCACATGGGGGCTCTGCAGTCAAAGCAAGGTTTGCATTGAGGTCCAGTGTAGGCTTCGACAGAGCTACATTTGCATCTTCGTTTGAATTAAAAGTCAGCTGGGCATTAAGGAATGCATAGGAGATGTGTGTTTGCGACAAAAGCTTTTCAGAGAAGGGTGCATGCAAAATATCTGTTTCAGAAGAGACACAACCCGTCTTACACTCGTTGTTCCACCCAAGTTGTCTGTCAACACTGAGCACTGAGACCTTTTCAGCCGTCTGTGACCGAACACAGCAGCCTACCTTGGAGTCTTTCACACGGCACTGTGGTTTATAACTTCTGGCTCTGCTGGAGTGCCCGCTCACATCTTCCACAAGACTGACAGATGCTGGGATTTCTTGCCTCTCGCAGATAAGGGAAGGTCTCAGAGTGCAGTGAACACCTACACAGTCGCCGCCGACTCCCTGATCCGTTACATCTGCTGTCGCAGTCGATGATTTGTCAATTGAATGGCCTAACTTTGTGGTAGATGATACTAAACTTGGTTCTGACTCCACATCTTGATGGAGGAGCCTCTCACACTGCAGATTGATCAGACCCAGTACTTTCCAGGGGCTGTTGCATTTAGGATGTGGCTCAATCAAAGTGGTAACCTTGCTGCTGTGACTCTCCTCCTTCACTTTTTTCATCTGTTTATAAGGCGACAAACTATACTGGCAGGAACTATTAGAGATGTTAAACAGATGTGCATCCTCTTCTTCTTTTTTGACTATAAGAGGACCTTGTCTAGACGTCTCGTGCAGCCATGTGGAGGGTGGATTTGTGTCCAGGAAACTGTTGTGGACGGGGGATGCAAGCTTGGAAACTTCTTGGAAAAGGTAGAAGAGTGCTGAGTGGGAAGCGCCGTGTTCAACTGTGCTCTGGTTTCCCTGGATGAAGGCAGCTTGTTTCCTTGGTCCTGTGCTCATGTTGAGGAAGTGTCTGTAGCATAAAAACAAACAATTTTTAAGAACAGTAGTTGTTGTTTAGCAAGGTGGAAAATAAGAAATAAACTTATTTCTAAAATGTAAAAATCTTGCTCACAAAATTGCTTATTTTCAGACATTTTTCTATATATTTGCTTTTTTTTGTGTAGTTCCACCTCTTTCGATTACTAAATGTCTTTCAAATAAAACAGTCTGATGGAAAATCTATTTTTTTATTAAACTGCTCACAGCTCATAGACATGCATGCAGCCTGTGAGGAGAATTGGACAGTAAATATTGCTTCATATTAAGACGTCACAAGTTTAAAAGGTTGGAAACCGCTATTCTAGAGAGAATTGGATTTAAAACATTGGCACAACATAGACTATTACAACAATTGTACCATATGAATAGCCATACGTCGTACAACTGAGCTACATAAGCTACTGGTGTTCGCATACACCACAGTAAAGGAAGATAAGCTAGGGCTACTGCAGTGTTTAATAAGTTTGTTTCCAAACTGTGTCCAACTGTGAAAGTGATATTGAAAACATGAAGTGAAGAAAAGTTTAACTCTGCCCACATTATTAGCGTTAGACCAGACATGGGCTAACGCGAATCAGCTAACGTTAGTGTCATATTGTTGTTATTTAAAAGCCTAACAAGGCCGAGCTGTCATTTCCCTTGACAATATGACATGAAGCCGCCTGAATCAAGAAAGAGACGTCTTTTAACACATTGTAACTCAGTTAACTCACCGGAAGAACTGTAACAAAACGGGGGGCTTTCAGTGCAGTTTAAATGTGTTCTAGAACACAAATGTAGCACTTTCGTTCTATGATGCCGAAGATTTTCGCGGTTTTCGCGGAGTTTGACTGTCGCGAGCGCAGAAGCAGGTCGGATGGATATTGACACAATATCAATACCGAGAATGCCTGAAAGTATGACAGTATATTTATATTGTTCCGCCTCTATTCTCTCATATCTGCATCAGGTATATATTAGTTCACTGAGGCCTTAATGTTTTGGACTACAAAAAAATAACTACTAGTGTTAATGATCAGTGTGGACTACATTTTTAGCAAATGATCTGATTCAATGCATTACCTCTACAGACATTCTGAAGCATACACTGCTGGCTCACTGCAGGCGCCTGTAAGAGAAATGGTTGCATTCTCTGATCCATTAACTATGATCTTAAAATTGGCAGTATCCACACTCTAGCGTTAAGTTTATCTATTTTTTTTACCTGTCATGGCCTCTACGGCTACCCACGTCTTTCACAGTTGGGCCTGAAGACAACAGTACACGATGTGGTCAAAGTCACACAGTCCAGTCCACCCAGATCGCTGTGCACAACTGTTGATGCTCACCTTAGATCTCCAAAATCGATCATCAACCTATTGGTGAAGTAAGCCGACTTACTGGGAACTCGCACCGCTGGAGCTGGTTGCTATGACCGGGGTCGTGTTTTGGACCAGGAGGAGTTACGCGGGTGTTTTGGGTTTACTAGATTACACCTGCTGGGGAATAAAAGCGTTGCTCACGCTTCACTCCAGTTCCACTTGGTAGCTGCTGCAAAGCACTTTTTGTGAATGTACAAATGTTTGTTAAGATACTTGCTGGGTAAAAGTGGACATTTTTTTTTTACAAACAATAGCCGCCTGCTAATTACGCAATTAACTAGCTTCGATAATTTAAGTACAATGGAAAGATCACTTTTGTCCCCTTTGAGTCCTTGTAGTGTTTGAGGTTGCTGGGTCATGAGGGCAGTGTTCAAAAACTACATTTAAAAACATTTTATTGCACAATTTTAAATATGAGTCATTTCTAACACATGATATATACACAGTTGACTTACATTTGTGCGTAAGGACAAGTACAATAGACTTCAACAAGTAAAGGGTAGATGTGGTAAACTCGTTCCATGGTAACATGAAGCTCACAAGTCTCAACCTCCATTCTGCTCACGATCAAAGCACACCTGAAGCTGAGAGGAAGTGCTTTTAAAATGCATTTTCCATCGAGCACCTGAAACACAATTTGCCTAAATATGATTTGTAGTGTTCATAGTGAAGGAAATGTAAGTTTTAACAGTCTAAATTCCGATTGCCTTTGTTGTGAGCGCACCCTTTCAGCTTCAAGCAACGTTTGTCTTTGAAATGCACTTCATTATGATAAATGGCTTCTTCTGTCTGGCTTCCGTACCATGCAGAGGAAAACATTTTTGAGGTCTATGACTTGGGGCTAACTTTAGTCAGTGGGTACATGTTGATAAGCCAGAGAAACACATACAAATTAATCTGGTACATAAAAATATGGAAGTAAATGCATACAATATCTAAGAAGTGACTCAAGAGTGGCAGAAATGACTAAGAACATCTTGTAATACGAGCTGTAATGAGGAATGTTCCATTGAACAGCGCAAAGATGAACTTCGTTGGAACTTGCTCTGCAATGTAATAAAAAAAATGTGAAACTGTTTCTTAAATTGTCAGGTGTTGGTGAGATTGAATGGCGTCTTGATGCTGGCCTGAGAACAATTCACATAAATAAATATGTCGGTTAAACCATCACAGCTTTTATGTTTTTCTTGGAAGGAACCATTAATTTCACTTTCAGTGAGACTTGACTAGTGTCCGACTCTGCCTGGTGTCATCTGCAGGCCTGTCCTGTCATTGGTTAACTGTGGAAATCGTCAGTCGGGAAGAAGTCTTTGGAGTTGCTACGGACTTTACCATCCTAGCACACACGGCGTCGAGCTTGCGTCGTCGTCACCCCCCCCTCTCGTCTTTTTCTCCAACTCTCGGCACCCGCTCCTCTTCTCAGTGAGGTTTGGGCACATGGCCATCCACGTAGAAGTTCCTGGTGACTTTGGGCAAGGTGAGCTCCATGCCGTCGAGCTCTGGACTGAGAATGATCTGGCATCCCAGCCGGGAGTTCTCCTGAAGCATGGGCGCCATGTCCAGCATGTCATCCTCCCTAGAACGCCAAGATATATCAGTCAACATTTACAGCGATCTCCCTCTCACCACATCGCACACATTTGCCTGTGGTTATGGAAGATTTGCTACATTTGTAGCGGGCCTACCTCTCATCAGGCTCTGCCAGTTGGTCAAAATGGGAAGAAGTCACATAGACATGACATGTTGAGCAGGCCAATGATGCCTCACAGGCTCCTAAATGAAAGAGACACACATATAAGCGATAAACATCTTGACACCAATGCTTCAATGAAATATTTAAGATGAAGATATTTAACTGTGCAAGCGCTCACCTTCCAGTTCAATTCCATGCCTCTGAGCCAGATACATGGCATTATCTCCCACTTTGGCCTTAACCGGGATCCTTTGGCCTGACCGATCTATATACACCACGTTCACCCTAAAACAGCAGGGGATTAAAAACCAATAAATATTAATACACTTATTAACAATCATGCATTTGAGCTTATCTGGTGGAAAGGTTATTTTACCAGTCTGCCCTTTTACTGCTTACAAAATAAAGACAGTAGAGGAATGAAGTGTACAAAAAAAGAACAAATCCCACAAAACAATATTTTTGCGAAGCCTAAATTCAAGTGCACAAACCTTTTCCCACTATATATTCAATTTCTATCCACCTGAGTACCTGCTACTCATCAGTGCTGCCATTTTCTAACTAATGTAGTTGAACATGGTGTTGATTTCTGCACTTAATGGGTGACCCACACATTTTGTATGAAAAAAATAAAATGTCGTACTACAAACTGTACTAATGTGTACCCTCAAAATGTGTCTCTCAAATGCAGCATATACATTCTATGTAGGCTGCTGGTTTAGAGTACTAGGTTTACTGGTTAAAAGAAAATTGCAAATTCAGCATGACTCAGCAACTATTTAAGCACTCTTTCACTGTAGATTAAATGCAGCCTCCACTGACTTGAACTTCGCAGTTTCAATGTGTATAAGTATGACGTGTGCATTGATTAATACCAGTCGAGAACACAATAAATAAAAAAACGTCCCTAGTAAACTTACACATCGTCGGGGTCCTCTGCATTGGAGCTGCCCTCCTCACTGTGGTACAGACCTTTAAACAAACAAACAAACAAACAACAGGACTGTGAGTGTTTCTGCTGACAGTGGTGTTATCAGTTCCTCCTGACGGCACCGGATGTGGAGACTGTTTCACTTGTTGCATTGCGTTTCACAACCCCATGTGGGAATGTTGATGTTAAGTTACACAAGTGTTATTGAGCGTACTTTCGACCCCGGCTGCTGATATCCTACGACCACCTGCAAGCCAGACTCTACTGGCATCAACAAAAGCTTTAAAAAAACTTGAATGAAAATAAGTAACTTTTTCCAGACATATTGTAAACAAATAGTCCTGGGGAAGAACCAGCCATCTCTGAATGAGGCTAAAAGTGTTAGCAAACTGCACCACTCACCTTTACTCGTCTGCAAGTGTCGATTTATGGTCCGAAAGCTATCAAAGGAGCCCCTCCTTTGTAAACTGCCCACGCCGCTCACACAGCCGGTTAATCTGTAGAAGGGACATGTGCTGCAGTCCGGTAAAGCTCGAGAAAGCCTCAAAGTCAGACCCACACTCGACCGGACAGCCGCGGCGGCCGCCATGATTCTGTTTTGGTCACATGACCGACAGCGGCCAATGGGAAAAGAGCGCTGGCGGGGCGACGACTCTGCTGTGATGTACTGCTCCGACAGCAGAGGGAGCTGCTGCTTCACATACAGGTAACAAAATACACAACACAGAAAATATGTTATGGACTCATAGTGGCAGAAGAAGTCAGACCCGTAACACATAAACAGTAGGCTACTTTGTTTTAGCTGCTCGTTATGGGCTCATTTTAATTGCTTTGTACACTGTTGGGCATTTGAATATCTTGCAATGGATCATATTTGACATGATCATCATTTATTTTGTTTGCAGCATCAGGGTGGAGACTTTAGTAGCACTAGCACAAGTTACAGGTTGGATGTCTTTTATTTCAGAGCTGGACAGTACTGTGCTTATATATTCCATTTTCTATTTTTTCCTAATTCTAGTCCACTACATTACAGAGGTTCATGTTATACATTTTACTCTGCTACATTTATTTATATGATGCATTGTTATAGATTATTAGACACAAAACCTACAATACTTGAAATTGGCTCCATATGACCAACTACAAGTCTAAAATGCTGCTGGCATGTTAATGCATCAGTAGTAACAATAATCCAGTAATGCAACATATAACATTTTGAAAGGTGCCGTTCTGCATAATGAGTTCCTTTTCTCACCTCATTTTGCCGATAATACTTTTACAATAATGCTTCCACACTTTTACGTTTTTTTTGTATTAAGGGATGATGACGTTGCAAATTTGTTCATATAACTTGGACTACCTCAATTTGATCAAATTTGAGTGCTCTTCTTTTACTTGTAGTTGTGTGTTTTCACATTGTGGTATTGTTGATATTGTTTTTGTACTTTAAATGAGCATACTACATTTGCTGCTACTGTATTTTACTCCCCTTGCAGCTCAGACCAGGCTGTTAAAGTTAAGGAAGCAGGTCTGCCCATAGTTCAAAAGAATCAAAATACAATATTTCATATTTCTAAAAAGTCCCATTCAGTGTTAAGCTCCATACTCGCCGATATCACACAGCAGTAAATACGTGTTCTGCCATGTGGATGTGTGCAGTAGAGGAAGACAAAGTTAGATCAGAAATCAAATGCAGGCTGGCAGAACACTGTTTTGTATGTCTGAGACCACTGGTGTGTGAAGACAGAGAAGTGATGTTATGACTAGAGGCAGGTGAAGCGGTCACACACCCTGTTTTCTCTCTCTTTCTGTACCTCCCTGTCCTTGACATCCACCTGGAGAGAAGTTATCCTAAAAAACAACTAATCGGAACTATTAAACATATAATCCCTCAACAGAGTAGTAAAACTCCCACTGAGGACCAGTGGGAGTTGAGCTGTGATTTATAAGGTCTAGGGCACTATAATATAATAGCGCCATATTTTTTGTTTCTTTTCTTATCTTTCCTTCAGTGTCTCATAATGATGGGCTTTGGGGGAAAGCCACACTTAAAGTGGGATTTAAGATGCACACTAACCCCCCATCTGGATCTGGCTGCCGAGGTTCTTTCCATGGCCATAAAAAGTAAATGGGGCACTCTCATGTCTAGGTTTATATTTTATAGGGAGTGCTGGGAGTCAACTCACTGGCATATAGATTATTACACTTTATATACTCCAAATCCACATAATGAAACACTTTTACACTTTCATATATGTACACTCTCTCTCTCACACACACACACACCTGCGCAGGATTAGTATCCAGGGACCGTTTACCTGTGTGTCTGCGAAGTCTGTGAAATTTAGAGCACTTAGTATATCATCGGGCTCTCTAGTCCTGGGATCATGCAGGTGTGTGCGTGTGTGTGCGTGTGTGTACAGGGGTGTGGTGGGTGGAGGTTGTTTAACGCTTGACTTGGATATGAAGTGGCCCCTAGCAGTTCCTTCAGATTGTACTCCCCTCACTCCCTAAAGACTAGGCAGTACAATAACTCACACAACCCCGCATACACACTCATACTTCCTTAAAGCCACTCACACTGAAGTACTTTAGTTCTTAAGAAAGACATACAAATGTAACACACACACAGTCAAATTGATGTCGCTCACCCAGAGGCCAGCAGCAACAGCACGTGTGGACATTTCTGCAGTGATATAGCGATGTATCTGAATCTCCCCATAGTATGCCATGTGTACTGTATGTATACAATTTATGTATCCAAGGACAGATACAACATGGAAAAACACAACATTTCCCAGCAGTCCTCTGGGTGCCATACAATCCCATTATTGTTTTTAGTTATTAAACTTTTCCTACCTTTGCCGATTACGACAGAACTGAACCTTGTCACAGTTACACTGGATGACATGTTCTTTCATGATGATGAACATGGGCACTGGAGTTCATTTTGAAGCAAACACACATACACACAGTCATGCTGTGGGGAGACTGGGGGCACTTGAAGAATGGAATAAACTCCCTGTCAATCTGAAAACCTGCACAGATTTCTGTGTTTTTTCTCTGAGGTTTAAAAATGGATTTTAAGCAGCCAGTCTTTTTAGCATTAACTTGGCATTTTGATGACCTGTTTTTACAACTTTCTATCAGAATCCGAATCAGCTTTATTGGCCATGTATGCGTACACATATATATAGAATTTAACTCCGGTTTTCATATTGCCCTCAACATACATACATAGAATATACAAGTTATACAGATGGAATTTAGCTATTAGCTAAATCTGGTACAAAGCACATTATCTCTTTTGTGAGATTAATGTATTTTTGTACATGGTCCCTGATGTAAATTAATTTAATAAACTCGGAAAGTATTAATATAGAAATGAAATATATGGAATAACAACAACCTTTTCCAGGTGTTGGAAAGGTTTTTGAGGCCAAGAAGTTTGATGAATTTGTAAAGCGTCCAAACATGTTGGAGTTGCAAAGGTTTTTCCAAGCGTGTCGATATGCGTGACTGTGGTTACTCACCGTCTGCCTGCGCGTTTTACTTTCCCTTTTTAATGTTGTTTCTGGCTTTACTGTAAGGACAGCATTAGTTATGATGATCTATATTAGGCCACCGGGTTGAATGACAGCAGCTGTTTCATTTGATTTCACTTGTTTTTTTTGCCCTCCTTTAGGAACAGTCAGCTCAGAGTTAGATGGATGTCAGATGGGTGTTTTGTAATCCCTGTGCAACTCAAGATTTCAAAATTCATCTCCTCTCATCATTTTTAACTGAGATACTCTAAATTCTACTGTAGACTATAATTCTACCACTTTTAAAGATTTCATGGAGATTTTTGAGATTATTTTTATAGCTAAACTCATTTTCATACTCTATTCATTCTCTTTGTAATTTGCTACAATTTATGAGATAAGAAGAAGTATAATAAATACATAAATACAAATAAAAACGGAATAAGATACAAACACTATTCCAACTTCTATATCCTTATTTATATCTTAGGCAAGGCTGACTCTGTACTAACTGCATCTACATTTTTGGTCTGCCTGGTCTTCTTTGGTGAACGTAAAACCAAAACACTATAATGCTCAGTCATGTTATTTACACTTCTTTTTTTCAGGACAAACTGGGCAATCAGAATATGTACGACTTTTGGCTTTTGAAATTTGTTCTTCTAGGCCATGGTGATCAGGGGACAAAAATAACTGTAGCCAACACAGATCATAAACTATTACCTTCGTAGAACCTTAATCTAATTACAAGCCCATTACACACTACATTCAAATTAGCATGTAAACGTGTCACACAGAACTGCAAATGAAATACAGGATTATACTCAACGACCGTGAGGCTGCCTTCAATACATAACTGGTCAAATTGCTACAGATACAGCTTCCCAGTTTGCTGCCTTTATGAGCATAATGAAATATTGTATTAGTCAGCGCTAACAGCTTTTCCGATCTAACTTTAAAGAATAGGACGGAGCGAATCTGAGGGGAAAGTCCTCCTGGAGATCCAAAAGGACTTGCTGGCCAATTTCCTTGATCAGCTCCAAGAAAAGAAGGAGGACAACAGTTGGAGCCATGAGAAGGATCTTATGCAGAAGGAGATATGTGACCTGAAAACCAAGCTGGATCAGGCTCAGGCTAAACATACCAGGAAAACAGACCCCGCGCTGGGAAAGATCTGCCCGGTGCTGCGGAAAGCTAAGAGAGATCTTGATCAGCAGACCTCAGAAACCAGGGACCTGCAATTTCAGTTGGAGCAGATGAAGGCGGATAAAAAGGGCCATCAAAAAGAGGTGGATGAAATCAAGTCAGAGCTCCGTGCTGAAAAGGACTCTGTTGCAGTGGTCGTGTACAACCTGAAGACCATCATTCACTACCTGAGGGTGCAGCTGAAGGACGCCACAGAGTGTAAGGCTCGTTCAAGAGCGTTGGAGAGCTCTCTTGATTTCACGAGGGTTCAAGCTCAGATGCTGGAAAAACAACTCGGCAAGATGGAGGATGCTCTTCACAAACAGAAGGAGGAGGCTCAGGAGACGCTGGAAAGGTACCAGGCTTCCCATGAAGACCAGCTGGAGGGGAAGACCAGGAAAGTAGCAGTCGCAGCCGGCCTGAAAAAGGCAAAAAGACCTGCTGGAGACAGAAGGCCTCCACTTTCAGCAGGAGAAAAGCTCCCTGCTGGAGGAGACTGACAAAAAGACAGTCTCCTGTGTGGCTCAGCTTGACGAAGGAAAAACAAAGAAACAGAATCTTTGTGGCTGCTCTGGAGAAGCCTGAGCAGCAGTTTGAGAGACAATGCATCAAGTGGCAGGAGGACAAGTCATCCCCCCTTCAGGCCACAGAAAACCTCAGGAAGACTCTGCAGGACAAGGAGCAGGAGTGGAAAAAGACCAAGAGCTCCATGAGGTTCCAGCTGGAAGATCTCTGGAGCCAGATCACAAAACAGGAGGAGAATAAGTGATACAATATGCTCTTCTAACGGCTACCGGCTCCAGAATTCCACGAAAAAAAGAAAATAAAAGGCCACACACACACTTACACAAACACACACAGGGATCTATCAGTCTTA